AGCTTTGATTTTTGTGGATTTGATTATTTGCAGTTTTGATTAATAAGTTTTCTCTAGAAATCTCTTAAGTCCTCCAGTTCTGTTGGAAGTTGACCATAGAGTTGTGCTGGAGAACCTAGAAGCTCTTAGAGAAAACACTTCTCTAGGGATTTGTAGGGCTTCCATCATGACTCTGTGATCAAGTTCTGGCAGATGTTGACCACAGACTTGTACTGGAGGACCTGGAGATTCCTGGAGAGGTGTTCTGTTAAGTAAAAAGAATAATGTTTTTTTAATTGCATTTTTTCCACATTCATGGGGGTCCTTCACATTTAACCCCAGGGAATGTGGAGGGAACACTGTACTACCGAAGATGGTTCATGTCCATGAAACATTAGCCATTGTAGATGCTTTATTGACAGAGTAATATTTTGCCTTATAAGATGAAGTAACAGTAACATCTCCAGAAATGAGTAATATTATAACTATTTCCCAGGGGCGCTGCACGCGGGAGAACTGCAAATACCTTCATCCACCAACACATTTGAAAACCCAGCTAGAAATTAATGGTAGAAACAATCTGATCCAGCAGAAAACAGCAGCAGCGATGCTTGCACAGCAGATGCAGTTTATGTTCCCAGGGACACCCCTTCAGCCAATGGTAAGTATTTCTAACAAAATGGCAGATAATGTTTCATAAATCAGTTTCTGCTAACATGAGAAATGGCTGGTACATTTTGAGCATCTCGTGATTCCTTCTTAAATCTTAGGTTACAATATTGCTATTTTAAATTATACAGGATTAAAAGAAACCTAGATCATCTTTGTGCATTTAAAAAAGTAATGCCTTTTTTCAATATATAATCTTCTAAAATTATTTTGAGATTTTTAGTTTTAGAACCAAGCAGTTTATTTCCAATGGGGATTACAAGGGAAAACTTTCATAGAGCTACAGCTAATCTGCATAATTTATATTTTTATACAACATTATTGTATGCATTCTTATTGAGCGTATGGATGTTGGTGAATGTGCCCTTATTCTAGAATAATTTTGCTTTAAAAATCTAGTATATACTGTGGAAATCCTAAATTAAGGTAGCAAACATTTTAATATCTGTTGCACTGTTGTTTTTTGAAACTTTTTCATTAGCTTCCGTATCACTTCCCTTTTAGCATTTTTATCATCCCCATTTCAAACATATTTATTTATTTACTTACTTATTTAAAATACAGCTCTGAGATATCTAAATCTGGAGAATTGAAGCAAAATAGTCTTACTAGTTTAAACTTTAAGAAGAAAAAAATGTACTCCTTCATTTGGGATAGCATGAGTTTGGATAATGCCTGTGAGTTCCTTAGTATGTAACTTTGTTGCTGTTTGTCCTTTTACACAGGAAATGTGTAATACCTTCATGTGTCATTAACTGTGTATCTGATTAGTAGAGTAATTTACATGGAATACATAGGGCTCTGTGTTGTTCTTGCTGGTTTCCAGAAGAATTATGCCAAATATATCTATTTATTTTTATTTATTTCCAGGATTTACATTCCATCTTTCTCCCACAGTGGGATATATAAAGATTGTGTCAAATACTCTTAGGTGTACTGTTTGTGGCAACTTAATTTGCAGGCTTGTATTCTAGGGCTGAAACAGACAGCCCATTTAAGCCAGCTTCTGGGCATCTTGAGAGTGCAGTGTTTATACGTGGGTGGCTTCAAGACACTCCAGTGGAATGGCGTTGACATTCTGCATGCCGCCAGAGCATCCTGAAGCCGCCCTGGGGCTGTGGCAAGGCTGGGAACAGAAGATCTTTTTTGTTCGTATTTGGGCCAGGTTGAAGGCAGATGGGGGTTGTGGCATGTGTTTGCCATGGCCCTGATCCGTCTCTGGTGAGGACGGCTTCAAATCATCGCTTCAGGGTTGTCTATTCCAGCCTTTAGTCTGTTTTGCTCATTCACAGGCTTGATTTTTTTATTTCCTCTATGGTGTGTGTGCATGCACATGTGCGTACACACAGAGAGAAGCCAACACTGACATGTTTACAGAAATCCTTATGGTGTACCAGTTGTAGAATGTAAATTTAGACATGCATATTTCTTCATATCAGTGTCAGAATCCTTTGGAGTCTATGTTATTTTTCTGTTAAGGCTAAGGTATTTGACAGAAAATACCTCATTTGCACTTGTGTCCTAATGCAAAGCATGGTTACAAGTATTTTCATAACTGTAGACCCAGGACATATGAATGCTCAGTAGGTTTATATCTAAACAAAAGTAATTATTTTCTTCAAAATTCCCTCAAGTCCCTAGAGTAGTAAGAGGTATTGTGGTTCTCCCTGAAAAATGATGTACCCAGAGATGAACTGAAACCAATTTAGATAGATAGACCTTAATATAGAACTTGTTTAGAATTTTTGTTCATAGTTCATTGAAACTTGAGTATAGAACTCACATGCTTATTCTTCATCTCTTTCCATTCCCCTCTCTCAGCCCTCATTTCCTGTAGGGCCAACAATAGGATCCAACACAGCACTAAGTTTTGCACCGTATTTAGCACCTGTCACTCCTGGGGTTGGATTAGTTCCTACTGAAATTGTCTCCACGCCACCCGTCATTGTTCCAGGAAATCCCCCTGTTACAGTCCCTGGGTCAACTACGACACAGAAACTCCTCAGGACAGATAAACTGGAGGTATGGCAAGTACCATTATGCGAATGCATGCAGTTCTTTGATACTT